TCTATCTATCTATCTATCTATCTATCTATCTATCTATCTGTCTGTCTGTCTGTCTGTCTGTCTGTCTATCTATCTATCTATCTATCTATCTATCTATCTATCTGTGGCACATAAGGTCGACACAACCTTCTTTTCAAACAATTTTAAGCATGCAGGCAGTTCAACTGTTGTTGTTTACTTTTTGGCAGGGGAAACCAACCAAGCCAACCAACCCACACCCAACTCTGAATTAATATTTAAAAAAATCTGAAAAACTACTTATAAGACTAGCGTTGAATAGCACGCTAATCTTAAAACATAGATAAGAGCACCAATGGCTGCAACCTACGGTTTTGTGAATCATGCCTACAGAATGAAGATGTACCGAATTTGCATGAAAGGCTCTTTTATTTGTCGTTATGGCCCAGGGCATAACAGTGAATACTAATGCTGGAGATTAGTAGCGGAAGCTAGTCCCTAGAGTAGACGCTGTGAGGGAAACATTCACTACATAACAAACTACTTTGAGTTTGGAAGGCATCTCTACAACTATTTTTTACCTTTAAGAATGTGCCTTTTCCTTTGGTGAGAATGTCATTTCGCCTCCATTTGTACCTACTTGTTCTCCAAACACTTTGTTAGCCTTCCTCCAAACGTACAAATGCTGCCACCCTGATATTTATGTACTTTTGCTTCCCTGGGTTATATTTCACTCTTATTATCATTTTCTCTACCTCACAAATGTACTCTTTTGTCTCTCTCTCGCTTTCATTTTCTCTCAGTTTCCCTCCCTCCCTTTTTTCCCTCTCTCTAAGGGCCAATTGGGGTGTCATGGTATGCAAATGAACATGTAAGGGTGCCCTAGTTATTATAAATAGACATTTATGTTTGATTAAGTGCAAAAACAATCTTACCTCAGGAAAAAATTCTCACTGTTGGACTTCAGCGATCTGTTTCAAAGAGAAAGGCTTAGGATATTAGGCCAAGTGCTGGAGCGCTTTTCTCTCATTGCTATTTGCCTTTGTTGCGTGAAATGTCCTGATTTTTACCATGTCTTGACCTCTTGAATTTTATGCATTTATGGGAATTCCTTTAAGACAAACTATGTTAGTCTATGTCATATGATGGTTTTATATTAACTAAACTTAACCTTCATGACATTAATACATAATGCTAAAATAATTTTTAGGTAAATTTCCTCTACTATGTAAAGTACTATTCTATCGCAATTCTTTTGCACATCAGGTGCATCAATGAAATCATCTTAAAACAGTTCTAGTCAATCCAGAGTAAAAAATTACTACACTATGATAAGCCCCACTCTATGTTTAATTTCATATTAAATAGCATGTTTCACAAATGAAATATATGGCCTTGTGGAAGTGAAGTAGGTTGGAACTGTCATTTCTTTTATTTAACTTCCTCTTCATATTAATTTTCCTCTTCTTTTAACAGTGCACATTGTCAGGAGCAGACAATGGTGTGAGATGATGCCTTGTTTGGATGACGAAGGCTGTGACCTATTGGTAAACAGAACGGGCTGGACGTGTGCACAGCCGGGAGGCCGAGTGAAAACAACCACGGTAAGTGTCACAAAACAAAACAACTTGGGACTTAGACTTGCTTGTCAAAAAGGCTGGTGTCATGAAAAATACCTCACTGGATCCCAATAATAATAAACGTATCTAAAAAGCCTATCTTTGAAGAATAGTAAATATCCCTGTATGTTTCACTTACAGAGAATATAGGTTTTTAAAATTTAATTAATAAAAAAAAAATTAAATTAAATAAATGCTTAAAAATGTAATTTTAATTTAATAAAACCGGAGATGCAATATCAAACAATGATAACCTGAAAGTGTATAGAAGTTTTTATGATTATGTGTAGTAAATTGTAAGGTATCCTAAAAAAAGTAATATATTTAAAATACATTTATTTCATACTAAGTATAGTTTAAATCTATTAACATATTTAATGACATATCACTTAAAGGGGTCATATGATGTTGCTAAAAAGAACATTATTTTGTGTATTTGGTGTAATGAAATGTGTTTATGCGGTTTAAGGTTCAAAAAACACATTATTTTCCACATACTGTACATTATTGTTTCTCCTCTATGCCCCGCCTTTCTGAAACGCGTCGATTTTTACAAAGCTCATCGGTCTGAAAAGCAAGGTATGCTGTGATTGGCCAGCTATCCAGTGCGTTATGATTGGCCGAATACCTCAAGCGTGTGACGGAAATGTTATGCCCCTACCATATTGTGATGATGCCCTGTCAGGCCGGAGCGATGATTCAAAAACATGAAAACCCATTATAAACGAGGCATTCGTTGCATCCAGTGGGGACATAATTATGGATTATAATGACTTATACTGTCTTTTTACGCGTTGCGTTGCATCGCGCCGCGTAAACATAAAACCATGTCTGCATTTGTGATCGGAGAAATGACAAACAACAAGTCCTACTCTACACTGCCCAAAAAACTCGCTTAGAGCTTGTAACACTCCAAAGAGAAAGGAAAAATTGAAATCGCATCATATGACCCCTTTAAGACTAAAATAATAATTAAACTTTATTCGGAGTACTACTTGTGCACAATGCACATTTCTTAATATTATGCCAAAAAAGTGTTTTTATGTCTCTATTGATGAGGATTGTATTATCTTCAAATAATATTGGACTTAATTCCAAGATATTTAGGGTGTATTCACACCTGTCTTGTTTGGTTCGATTGAATCGAACTCAAGTTCGTTTCCCCTCTTGGTGCGGATCTTTTGGGCAGGTGTGAATACATCAGTCGCACTCAGGTACGGACCAAACAACCATACCGAGACCCAACTGGTCTCGGTCCGCTTCCAAACAAACTCTGGTACGGTTCGTTTAAGGTGTGAACATGACCCGACCTCGATCTGACCCAATTGCAGAATTCACGCTCAGAAACAGACAGCTCACGCATATAGTGGTGTTGTTTGCATTTCAGTGGCTTAAATCACTTGTTTTTAAACTCCAATGCATAAAAACGTGTGCAAATGATGAGTTTTTGTGACCATGGTGCACAGCAACATGACACGAGTGCGCTAAATATAGGCTAAAGCTTGATGCAAAGCCCCAGCAAAAGTTAACATGAATGTGTCGGGGGGAAATAGTAAGGAGATATTTTAATTATTTATTAATAAACTAGTGTTCCCTTTCAGTCGGTCACTCCCGACGTCACGTCGGCTGACCGACGAAATTGGGATCTCGCTTAGAGAGACCAATCCACTTCGAGTGTAAACTAAACGACCGACGTGACGTCTCCGTTCCCTCCTTCAGGGAACGAGGGTTACATACGTAACCGAGACGTTTGTCTGAGTCAGAGTCAGTGTCGCAAAGATGAAGTTGACAATCCTGACCTGCCATCTCCTCATTGGATGCCAATTCAGAGAGAAATGCATCTTTACGGATTACATAATGAAAGAGTTTTTGTTTTGGATTTAAATTAATTCATTTTGTAGTCATTTAAAGCTTTCTATAGATATATTCATCATGTCTAAGGAAAATATTCGATGAGTTTCGGTTCATTTTTGTGAAGCGCTCCTGCTCAAGACAGAGACGGCAGAAAGCACATCCTAGCTGTTTTCTTTATTTTACAAAAGTACAACATTTTGTTGATATTGTGAGTGCACACAAATAAAAGCAGACCCTTTACAGTTCCGAATGATGTATTATTCTTAGCTTTATGAGCAAAAATTACGGCGTATTTTAAATTGTTTCCACTGATGTCCTTCACAGCGTGCTTCAGTTTCCACTCTTGGCACAAACGATTGGATATGCACCTAACAGCGCACATTTATGTAGTTTAAATGTTTAAACTAACATTGTGATATGCTTTAATGGTTGATTGCGATTTCACTTTTTTAACGTTAGTTAGTGTGTAATGTTGCTGTTTGAGCATAAATAATATCTGCAAAGTTACTAAGCTGAAAGTTCAA